CCCACCCCCCCTAATAAAATACAATTTAGATACTTTTAGGAGGCAGGCTCTTTCGACCCTACCAGCCAGGGCTGACCCGGGCATAAGAGAATTGAACTCATATCATCTGGGTGGGACAGCAAAGCATCAAACAGCTACACCACTGAAGCTGTCCTATAAACCATTAGATTGTGTTCAAGTAAAAAAAATATAGCCTTATACGAAAAAGCAACAATTTAGAATGAATTATAGCATACAATAATACATTTGGGCAAGACACAGTATACTACCTCAGAATTTCAAAGTTCTATCAGCTCAATAGGCTACCAAGGTTTTTTTTAGAAATTTGACGTAAAATATTTTTGAGTTTCATTATTATATGTCAAGCTTTTCGGAAGCAATATTTTGAATATCTTGATAATGACTCGAAAATAATCTTACGATTCTGAAAGAGCACAAAGAGCATTAAAATTGCTTTCTCACCTCAAAGTCTTTAGAGTAAGTCAAAACGGCCTAAAATATCGGATAGAACGTTACTATTTTGAGGTAGCGAGAAGGTGTTAACAAATAGAATGATCGTAGTTTAATTTTTACAAATCCCGAAACATTAATGCCAGAAATCTAAGCAAAAGTTATAATGCCCTCATTAACACAGCTTAGATTTATAAGCCTTTTTAGGAGGCCGGCTCCGTACGTCATGTTTTACTATCGTATCCATACGACATGGGGAACTCTGTGCCACCACTTTCCACAGAGGATATTTACTCGTTAATCCAATCCGTACGCTTTGCATAGCAGTCTGTGAAAATAATTTTTTGAGAAATAATGAAAGTCTCAAAGAGATAAAGGGAAATTGGGCGCTCTTCAATTTTGGGCATGGGGAATTATTGGTTTCATCCAAAAGCTGGTTCATTTGTCTTGTTTTCCTTGAAAAAAACCCCCCATTTATCTAGAATAGAACTTGAGATATTTATGACTGAATGAGGTGGGGGTCGACTGATTTCAGAGGTAAAATTAGTGAGTAAATGGCTCGCAAGTCCTTGGAAAATGTACTTACATTTTTTGTGCCTTAAATTTGAACGGTTTGTTTTTGTAAAATCCGTACAGAAATGTGTTCTTAAGAGGATATAAAAGGTTTTGACCCCCCCCCCCAAATTTGATAGAATTCACCGAACAGACAGAAAAAGGCCCGTTTCTTTGATTTCATCATTTTGACGAGCGCCTGATTTCAGCACAATACTTCACAAAATAGATTTTCTCTAAATTTGAATCAAACACACTTTTCACAATGCAAAGCGATAGCATAACAGCTACATCACGAAATCTGGGAAATATTCCCGCAATTTGTTATCTTGAGCAGAGTATATAGGCTATAATGAAATACCATAAGGAAAACATTAAATATCATTATCTGAGAAAAATAAGAAAATAGTTTGAGCGAATTTACCATGAAATACTTTAAAGTTAAACAAAGAAAAGAGCATGAGAAAAAAATCAAAGAAATATCATACTGGTAAATCGAAGAAAATTTTAAAAAAATAACATAGTAGAAAAGAAAATAAACAAAGAAAGTAATATCATGAGAGAAATATCAAGAAAGATCGTACATGTTAACTTAAAAAGTGTCGTTAATATCAAGATTTCTCAGGAACAATTTTTTAAAGTAAGCTTACCATGAGGAAAATATCAATAAACTTCACAACAGAAAACTTCAGAAAATGAGCGAGAAACGACAAGAAGTAATACATGGGCAATGGGACCTGGGTTTACAAAAAAGGTAGTTCCATTGAAAAATGAACAACTTAATCTATATTTACAGAACATTGTACAAAGATACTATGTGTCAGGATGTGGTAAAATCTGGCACTCGTCAATATTTAGGCATATGGAGTTATGGGTATCATCTTCAATTTGTTCATTTGACTATCTATCAGCGAAAATAAATAGACATCTATCTTGAATAGAAGTTGAGTTATTTGCAATTGAAGGAGGTGGGGTTTGCTTGAGTTTACAGGTAAAATAAGCAAAATAGGGGCAGCCAAAGTTTGTAGATTTCCAAAGCTTGAGAGTTCTCGGAAATGTAAAGTTTACATTTTTGAGTGCCTTTAATTATCTGTTTTCTGTAAAATCCACACAGACATGTGCAAGTGTTAAATTTTAAACTGTCGTAAAAGGTGGTAGGCATAAAAAAAGAATAATTGATAAACATGGAGAAACTGACGAGAAAATGAGGATATATTTGATTTCATTATTTTGACGAGCACCTGATTGGATAAAATGAAAATAAACATGTCATTTGTAAAAATAAATTATTACTAAAAATACAAAATTAACATATTTTATTGTACATTAGAATAAATGAAGATTTACATGTCATTTAAAAAAGAAAATAATTCCTTAGCATACAAAATTGACATGTTTTAATGTACATTCGAATAAATGAAGACATACATTCCATTTGTAAAAACGTAAATTGGAGGTAAAAAGAATTATTGGAAACCAAAAGCATTAAAAGGCAAACAAATTATGTGTATGCTTCCTCAGAGAGGCCCCAGTTGTTGGCAAAGCTGTTTTTGAGCAAAGAAGTAGAAAGGTCAAAAAAGTCTTTTTCTGTAAAAAAAAAAAAAAATAGTTTATCTAAAAA